CCCCCACCATCAGAATATTCTTAAATTTCTTTGACTGTTTGTCATTTGCTCTCCTGGGTGGGGTGGAGAGAGGCACTGTGAGAGTAAAGTGCCTTGTCCATGAACACAGAACTATGAGCCGGCCCGGGTTCTAATCCCGAACTAGATCTGCAGTCTAGCGCACTAATCAAGACATCACTGCGTCTCTCAAATTTGGACTTTGAATATTGTGGTAGGAAAAGGAAATAACCAAGTCAATCAGTAGTACCTCGTCTAACACAAGACTGTTGCGTTTTTTCCTGAACTGTTGTAGTTGAGAGATTTGAAGAAGTGGAAGATAGTTTGTGTGTTGGTCAACAGATGAAGGATGGAGAACGGGTTGTTCTTTTTCTGAAGATGAGCAACGGATTCAGGTCGGAAATAACTCTTTAACTAGTGCTCCGTAGTGAAAGAAAAAAAGGTTGCAGATTGATAAAAGAGAACAGTTCATGGGTTTCATCGAAACTATAGAAAAACGAAACTTAAGTGCTAACGAGGATCTTTTGAGGGCGTGTTGAGTTAAATTGAAATTACTCGGCAGAGTAAATTGAGATTATCGTTCAATATCGGCAAAAAAAATCTTGCTTCAAATATTAGCCACCCAGATATGATACAGCAATTTTCGTGGGTAGGCAAGGATTGCATCGTGATTGGTGCAGAAAACTCGCGTCAGACCCGTAACTAATCAAATGTAAAACTGTAAACTAATCGTGACTCAGCCCACCCGCGCTTTCCCGCGCTCCAGGCAGTTTGTTTTTAGTGTAGTTATCATTGGTTCCTGGGGGAATTTTTCTTTCCTTTGATTGGCTGTTCTGATATCTTTCGTTTTGGTTTTACGATACTCGGTTGAAATGCTCTTTAATGACAATAGTGTACGTGTTACCTCTAATTCGTAAAGGATTAGTTGTCAGAATAAAATTCACTTTTAGTCCAGTGCTCCCTAACTTTTGGCTTTTAACTAACCTTTAATTTTCGTCGATTATCCTAAACTATTAATTTCACATTAAGATTTAACGAAGAGCTTGTGGCGCGCGTGAAGTCTGCGATCCGGCAAAGACTGTCAGCCAGACACGTCCCAGAAATTATCCTGGAAACAAAAGAGATTCCTTACACGGCCAGTGGGAAGAAAGTGGAGGTTGCTGTCAAACGGATACTTGCAGGAGAACACATCAAAAACAGGGGAGCGTTAGCGAACCCGAACTCTCTGGATCTTTACTATGGCATTACTGAGCTCAAACAAGGAGAAAATTTATAAATCTATGTCTGAGAACACGCTTTATCCAACTTGGAAACAAACAAACAAACTAAAACTTGAGGAGGACAAAGTTATGAAATGTGTCAAACTCGATTTAAATTAAAGATTGGGCAGGGAGGCACTTTTTTTTTTAAATGTTTGTTGCAAACTTGCACTAAAACAGCGCAATCAAAAAGTGTTCCACCAAAACACCCTACTACAAACACAAACACATAATCGTAACGACAATGACAAAGTAAAAAAAATTTGTTGTGAACATTTTTGATAATTTTATGGAGCAGATAATCCTCTAGTGTGACGTTTAGGGGTCACGTGACCAAGGAACTCGTTTCATTGCGCTACCTGTTAATCCAATCTGTTTCGAAAAGCATATACAAGTTCGAAATTTTTATGCCTTTTTTTTTTGGATAACTGAAGAAAATCAAGGATTAAATAATTGTCGAAAGCGGGCGATATGCCACTTTTTATAAACCTTAATAAGTTATCAAACAGTTAGATTGATTTTTATCCAAGGGTAGAGAACGTATTTATTACAAAGGTAAATATTTGTGGTCACAATAGGTACGTATGTAGTGCGTGTTTTCACGCGAGTGTTTCACACCCGAGTGCATGTAGTGCGTGTGAAACACATCCCAGCTGCTAGTTAGATGCATGTTTTCTTTTTTTTGTTTCCCTATAGTAGCATGACTCTGAATTAATAAATGTGTTTTATTTTTAACAAGGTTACAATGAATTATGATATTTCTGCTAAGTCAAGTTGAAATTCGGCACGATTACAAATTTCCTGTCTTTAAGACAGAGCGAACACGCTATGTAATTCCTCTTCGAATAGCGCTAAGTGGCTTATTTGAAGCCTTTCTATGGTATCACAATAAAGGGAATAAATAAAAATTGAGACAAGTTTTGCTTTCTTCGTCCAGTTTACGACTGGTCATTGCCTAGAAAGAGCATAAACAACTCTGAACACGAACACTTTTGAGCCAAGAGCGGAAATCTATGTTTTATCGAATCCTCTTTTCTTCAAACAATTAATGAGGAAATCCAGGTTTTAGCACTTATGAAGTTAGACCGTAAGACTTTAAAGATGATGAAAATTTCTTTCCTGTTCTCATTAACTTCGCTTGCATGATCAGTATTAGACACTCAGTACTAGTTTGAAGATCAGATGTGTTCTTCACTTTTGTCCTCAGTCTTACTTGACAGATCTTTAGGTTGGAATGACCTTCCGTTGATATGATTTGGCTTGATTTTTATTTTTGAGTCGCTGGTAGCTGGTTAAGGAAAGGGTAATGAGATCAAACGTTGCATTTCTTTCCAAAGCTGGTGTAGTTCCCTTCATTTCTATGACAAGGTTGATAAATGAAGTTAACAGATTAAGCTTGTAGCGGTCAAAGGTGGTTAAAGAGATTTACAACGCTGGGAGGGGAAAGGGCGGAGTTTGGCGATCAAGTTTCGAGATTTTCCCAGAATCTACAATAATTGCCATTCCCTTGATAATGGCGTCGTGAAGTCGCCGAAACAATTGCATCTTTCATAGCGTTATTTTCATCTCAATATACTATATCCTTGCTGAAAACTGTTTTTGCGAAAAAGGAAATTTCTGCAGAAATGAAAGCAGTTACTAATATCTGTCATGTCTGGAATTCCAGTAATCTCTAAGGGGATCTCCGAACGGGCGGGTTTGAGAAGGTGCACAAAAGAGAAGAAACAGGCAAACTTTGGGTATCTATTCCTTTCTACGTATTATTCTGTTTATCTAGAGGGTTGAAAACCACCTCAGCAGCTGCCGTTTCGATGCGATGACAAGTACATTGCACTATAACACAGCATAACAGTTTATTCTGCTCGATCGCTTCTAGAAAAATTTCAAAACGTCGACAGGAAGTCTACAGATGTAATATCTTCGTTCTCTCTCACGTTCATTTAAGACCAACCTGTTGAGAACTTCGCTGGAATGAACCCATGCAAGAATTGAACGTTTTTTTTTTCCTTTTCCGTTGGTATGAATTTATGAGGTGTAAATTAAGGTGGCAATGAACCGTATAATCCTGCAGAAGTTTCCTAAGACGTCGCCGAAAGACGAATCATGGTCATCTAACTTCGTTAAGGCTGATGACTTCGGAAGAAACTGGGGCTGTATCGGTGGGGGTAACGAAATAATTTGAATATATCAACAAAGTTGAAATGGTAAATTGGCCACCGTTACGATTATAAAAGCTGACGTTTCGAGAGTTAGCCCTTCGTCGGAGCGAATAGGAGAGTTGTGGGTTGTGAGTGCTTTTAAAGGCAGAAAAAGAAGCTACCTGCTTGGTGGGAACATGGCAACGAGAAAAAAAAAGAATGAATTAGTGGAATGAAAAGCGTTCGTTGATACCTGTGGGATTTAGACTGCCAGTTTGAAAGAGGAGCTTTTGTTCAAGAGTTTTCCGGCTTTCCGCGCTACCTAAGTGTAAGGAAAGACCGCAGATTGTCATGTGTTGCTTAGAATTGTTAGGTAAATTAAAATAACTAGCGACTGGTTTTGATGTGTCCTTGTCATTCCTCTCCACGTCGCGAAGGTGTTCTCGGAATCGGTCACTTAGTCTTCTGCCTGTTTAGCCGATGTAAATCTTTTTGGAATAAGTGCAAGTTATGCAATAGATTATATTGGCGGAGGTGGACGTAAAGTGATCGGTGATCTTAATGGATCGCTTGGGTGTCGATAATTTCACAGTGTCGTGAATGAAAGGACACGTTTTGCATCGTGCACGAGCGCATTTAAAAGTGTTTCGTTGGTCATTAGTCTTAAAAGAACTTGTGACCAAAAAATTTCCTATGTTTTTGTCGCGTTTGAATGAAATGAGTGGNATTTGAATATATCAACAAAGTTGAAATGGTAAATTGGCCACCGTTACGATTATAAAAGCTGACGTTTCGAGTGTTAGCCCTTCGTCGGAGCGAATAGGGGGATTGCGTGCACACACAACCCACAATTCCCCCATTCGCTCCGACGAAGGGTTAACGCTCGAAACGTCAGCCTTTATAATCGTAACGGTGGCCAATTTACCATTTCAACTTTGTTGATATATTCAAATAACTTCGTTAAGTATACCTTAAGGTATTTCCAAGAAGCTGAAGTGTTTCTTAAGTACCTCAGCATGTAAAAAAATAATCACTGTTCGTTGAGAAATACACGATTTTGCATTTTTATAATACTATGTTTAAGGAAACCAACCAAAATGTGTGGAGGCTACAATAGCTAGGAATAAGATGATTTTTAGTACAAAAAAAGTTTCAAATTAAATTATTTCGAAGTAGTACATGTACTCTTTAGGAAATGATAAACTGTCACTGAAAGTCGTTTGTAATTTAAACTTCGAAAATCTTACAGTCTGAATTAGGAATGGAGTTTGAGACTCTAATCATCACATAAGAAAATCGCTCTAGACCTGTACGTGGGCGATCCTTGAAAATTTCCCACGTTTGATTTTTATTAAGCGATTGAAAATCTGAATTTCGCTTCCCAGACTCTATTTCACATCAAAATGATCAGCCACGAAACTTAAGATCGTATAAGCTACTTATTGAAAGAGGTGTTTGAACTTAAAGCAAGAAATTTGTGTGGTCCAGATAAGAATAAAACAACACTTTAAGTGTCGTCCGACTCAACAGTTCCATCTGGAGCCAATGTGGATGTCCGGATAGTGAAGCCACTGGAATATTTTTGCAGATGAAAAACCTCCATAGATGAGTCAGTGGTTTTATTTTTGGTTAATACCGTGAAACTTGGCCAGTATTTGCAGATGTAGCCCTGTCTACCCTAACATCAGTAGGTATATTCTCAATACCGTTCTCTTCATATTTCCCAAGGTGCTAACAAAGAGAATTTGTTCAATAATCAAGAGCTTCTTGAGACACTGATCATTTTCTATATTCTCATGACCTTAATGTGTAATTTAGAGGTGATATTGTAAGGAGAAATTAATTGCTAGTCACTCGTAAGGGTCAAATTATGTGTTAATAAAAAAATAAAAAAAAAATAAAAAACCAGTACATTACGCGTCCTCTTGTTTGACGAAAACTATTTGCTTTCTCATCAGGTAAGGGCGTTACTTTTTAGTCCAGTTTCGTGGTTGCTGCCCGAAAGTTCTTATTCCTCTTTCGGAAAACAATTCCGTCATACCCAATTCACGCGTATTCATTTAAAAAACATTAGATCACCGTGAAAAGATTCCACACTCATCAGATATCGTTGGGTTATTAACTAATCATCGACCATTTTCAATTCCAAGCTAGAAAAAAAAAAAAAACAGCTAACTATAATGATACCACAAAATGGTGCTGGTTTCCGTTTCAGCAGGTTTTGCGGAGTCACAGGTTATGGCATAAAAACCGCTCTTTCCGATAAACTCTCCGAGGACAACGGTGGAATATAAATAGAACATTATCTCGGTTACACCTCTTGATTATCTCGCTTTTGAAAAGGTAATTGAAAATTCTCGAAAGCGAGATATCGCTTAAACCTTAGCCGATAAGGTTTCGATAAAAGGGCGGCGCTTCGCTTGAAAGTATGTGCTACGTTACAGCTAAAGGCCGAGATGATCCCGGTAGAACTAACAGCATGCAAACGAAAGCTATAGTGCATGGTGTAATTGTTTTGATTTGTGAAAATAATGAAAGCCGTATCGCGAAGAAAACGTATCAATCCGCAAATTCTTGGTTTTCGAGGCTATATCGAGCGAGAAAATTTCAAAATGAGAATGTTTCACGATGGAAAACTTATTAACTGAGAGAAAGGCTTATTGAATTTGGTAACCTGTGGACCTGGGGGCGTATATTTGGCTTTTACAATGATTGATGATTCTAAACAATTGTGAGAGGTTGATTCCCTTCCAAATCCTGAACATGCCGGATAGCTTTATATTATGTTTCGTCTTTCCTTTACATAACAACGATAAACTGCCCATATTAGGCACATTTCCTGCTAAGGTTCAATTCCATGCCTAAAAGCTGTTGATAGTTTTTGCTGTCGTAGTCAGCTTTATTTTTACAGAGGTCTGTATATTTTTTTTCAGTAATTGGATGAGAAGAGCTGTGGCTTCGTATGTGAACCCATAGGTGGTTTGCACGTTACGTCATCGCCGCCATGTTGGTGGACGTAAACAATAGATATCTCATATGATGCACGATCCTCGCAGTAGATAGCGCTATTTATACAATAGCGAAATTCAGACTTGAAAAAAATCAGGCCTGTACGGGATTCGAACCACTGACCTCTGCGATACTAGTGCAGCGCTCTACCAATTGAGCTAACAAGCCAACTGGGAGCAGGCCGTTAAGGTGATTCGTAATAAACCCGTGATGATAAATCAGATACAATGAATATATGAAGTTCATATATTTTGAACTGCGGTATTAAATACGTATGATGCACGATCCTTCGCAGTAGATAGCGCTATTTATGCTATTTATAGATATCTCATTATCTTCTTTTGTTCGTCCACCAGCATTTGATCCTTTCACCATTGTTACCTGTGTCTCTAGAGATTGGTTGCAAACCACCTTGGCAACGATGACGTAACGTGTAAACCACCTATGTGAGCAATAACGATGTTGATGTTAGTGATATACCTTACATGTTACGAGGAAAACTTATCACCGGATACCAACTCCAAGAAGACCTACTCTTACGGAGATATAACATCAAAGGAACCCCTCCGTGTCTATTGTAAACATTTGTATTCGTGAACACACACTCAGTAACAAAACTTAAAACGAGTCAGATTGAAAATTAGGAAGTACATTCTCAATTATGTCTCGAGAGCTGCCATTCTGCTCGTTTTGGTCAATATGTTTATCAGGTTTCTCTTTTCTTCCTTTTTCAGTTGTGGTTTTATCTAAACTTTATGTTATCCACACTTGTGTAGATATCAAAGAAGCCATTTCCTGGCTATTGTTTCGTCTTGTTCTATACGGCTTTCTTGACGAAGGGTGCGGGCTTCATCTTGACCCGGCAATACTATGATACGCAGCAGCTTTAGAAAAAGGAAACAGAGTTGGATTACCAAACATGTAAGTGGCGAGGTTAGGGAAAAACTTAACCTCACTGAACGATGTTCTCGGAAGAATTAAAATTCATTTCCTTTTCTTTAAAGCCATTTTCCTGATCACTATCACATGATTCAAATACCACTCCTTTTCAAATCTACTGGCAAATGGCCCAACTTCATCTAAGATTCCTTGTCTCATTTATCACAATCAGCAAGAGATAAAATTAACTAGCTGGCGAAGTAAATGAAAAACTACGCCCCTTCATATGGTTACAGACGATAGCATTGTTATGTATATTGACCCTTCAAGAGGTGTTTCACTGACTAGAATCATCCTGTAGATAATGAAACACATATGTGGTTTTAAAGCATCAGTCCTAATCGTCTAAATTTTCTCACGAGAAACTGAACCATGAACTTTTTTTTTTTTTTTTTTTCAAGTTAGCCACGCTATGGGCAATGTACGTCCGTTTTCTCAATTCAAGTTAGTTTTGTTTAGATTCCACTTCGATTTGTTGTACAATTTTGAAACTTCTGTCATCGTCTGAGGTTATCGGCTCTGATTAATGCATCTCTCTGGGAAAGTTCAATTTACACCTTGCTAAGCGCTCTTTAAATACTGTTTTCACTACAAAAAGTCACACTATCTACAGCTAAACACACATGTGTAATTCAACGACAAAAGCGTAGAATCAAAATTTAGCAGAAAGCTTGAGGAACTGAGTTTTCTTTTTTACGTTGAGCGAAACGGTGAGGAATTAATTTTTTAATTTAGTTTGCGTGTAAAAACATATTTTAAACCGTCAGCTTTTATCTCCATTTTTTTCTCTTCACTGGACCCGGTTATCAATGTTATGTAAAGTTCAAGTGGGTAAAATCGCAACATGCGACCGATCGGCAGAAATACCCTTCCGCAGGAAAGACAAAAATTTTTTGGATAACTGTATTTTGTACAGCAACAGAAAGCTTCCATTGGATATAATTCACCCTATACGAATAAATAAGTAAAACTTAAGGGTGCACTGTCAGTTAGAGGTCTTTAGATATTAAAGAACACCAAATATTGCGATGGCACGCGAAAATCCTGACCGACATGGAATTTAATTTTATCAGTGAAATCTAAGGGTCATCTTACACCTTCATCGATAAACTTAAACGTCGGCGAGGTAATAAGGCGTGTGTAGAAATGAGTCTCTACAGGACAAGGGGGAAAATAATAAAATTATTTCAATGCAACTGTGCTATGTTCAAAGAAAACTTGATCTGATTTAAGTTGATGGAAGCGCAACAGACTGAAAAAGAAAGCGAAACATCACTGCTGTTATCTTGATCGGAGAGCTCTTGAAAAAGCGTCGGAAATTCTGGTTTAAGTTTCATTGTCTTTCATGGCCGCGCGCCGCGTGATCACGACTTCGAAATGTTCATTTTGTATTTGTGAAGAAAGGGGAACCAAAACTGATGAAAGTTTTCCGGTTGGGAATCAGCGTTTTGCTACTCTTAACACGATAAAAAGACGAAAAAGAGTTTGTTTCTGAGACGTGTGTTTACGTGAAAACCCAAGGGAAAGTATCGATAAACCGCGAATTGGAAATATCAGTTTCCTCATTCCTTGATTAGGAATTTATCCAATTTCTGCCGATGGTTCTCTCTTTACTGTCCCATACGAAGATACATAGAAATCATGAAAACGCTCCTCAATGTATATTTTTGTAAAAGAAGTACCGAAATTTTGTTCTTACTTTTTTTCTTCCATTTTTCTCCTTTTTTTGCCACATGCCAAGCTTGTCACCCAACAATCTGGCGCTGTCAATCAAAGCTGATCAAATTAACTACGTCAAACTTCACTGACTGAGCTTCGCGGCGGGCTACAGTTGTTTTCGAATGGTATTTGTTTCTATTTGGTGCCGGAGAGGATACCATAAGATTCATGTAGGGAACTAGTCTCTACAACCTTGAAATTCAACGGCAAGTCAGAAGGTGATTATATTGTCTAAGAACGACGTTAATTTTGACGATTTTCAGTATCTGACTGCGTCCATGACCATTGTCATATTCGTTACTTTTAGGATCACCAACGCATTGCTTATGGTCATATTTGGGCTAATTTTGGGCAAATACACTTAGAATATTGCTTGGGAGTTTTTTCGACTGCCGAGAGTTTCTGTCAAGCTTAGAGGCCAAATGAGGAACACACGGGTCTTCAAAATTCGGTTCAAAGTGACAGATACTTTTTTATTTACGAGTGTCGGCCATTTCGTATATCAAGTATGTCATAGGTGTTTTAGGGTTGAACGCCATCCTCTAAGCAGTTAGGAGTCAAGTTAGAGATAACACAGTTTAAAAAAGGACCATAGTCTTCACTAATCGTTTTATGAGAACAAATTTGCAGTTACCTACGTCATGTGGGACTGCTATTTTAGCGTTCAATTGTTTTGTCTTCACTGATTTGTCTGAAACCGTGGCGATCCTCTTCGACTGTCGTCAGTAGTTGTCCATCATGAATTATTCTTCTATAAAAGAAGAGCAAGACGTATTACATGCTGGTGTGAAATCTAGTAACAATGAGCAAACACAAAAGTTATCTTATGTGGCATTAATGCATTTTCTAACAATTGAATATCAGTAATGGTTGAATTTCTCATGTTAAATGCCAAATTCGAACGATCTGGTAATGTCAGATAAACAGAACGTGGCTTTAACAAGTTCAATTAATATAACACATGTTTTTATCTAACAAATTAACATAAAAAATTTATCACGCAACTTGAAATTATCGATTTTGACTGAGCAAAATTGGACTCTGTAGGTTAAGAGGTTACTGTGGTTTCGGTTTCAGAAACTTAAGCTTCTATATCTTAGCCTTACTTTCCTTTGATGATGTACGAAATTCGAATTTAATGACACGCATCACGCTACCTTGTAACGAAGGAAAACATCCTTCGGCCTCGCTTAGTCGTGTTCTGTGCGGAATTTACCATCAATGGCGTAAAAAGGAAAGGACATGAGGTATATTAATGGGTTTAGCGTTTGTTTAAATATCGGAGGATTTGGGTAAAATCTAAGTGAAGAGATTAACAGAGATATTTCTTTGATTTCCATAGGTAATACCGATAAAAGACGCTATGCAAGACTCAAGGCATTCCTATCTTCCTAGCATCGTTATAATGTTATTTCTCATGAGATTAGGTGAGGATCTCTTTATTTGTAATGTAGTAACCTTTGCTACGATATGTTGTTCGATTAGAAAAACATACATTCGGGGTAAATAGGGTTTTGGCTGATTTGTAATGTTCTAAAGGAATTTTGCAGAAATTTGTTTTAATTAACATTGTCGCGTGTCGCTTCCAGATTAGACAGTTCGTGTTCATAGTTCCTTCATTTAATCCTTGCTCCCTGATAAAATTCGTTTCACGAGGGCTCGTGAGATAAGGTGATACACTTTGAAGCCGATTGCTATGAAAGAATTCTCTGGCACTTGGCTCTTGGCACGAGTTCAAGTTTTTGCCGCAGATGAAATTTACTGTGATCGCCGCCGTCGTTACCTATAAGCTCTAGCACATACATCAAAAATATTTCATCTGACATTTAATGGAAATATGCTTTTACCACATTAGTTCTCTGTTTCCTCGACAAAGCAAAATATAGCTGAATTAGTTTGTTAACTGGAGTCGATATGTTAACCTCTTAAACTGATTACAGTAATTTCATTAGAGTTTGTGGTTATAATATGTTAGATGTGCTGTTCAGCTTTCCTTGTTCAAAAATTATGTACTTTGCGGTGCTTTTCTATTGGAAAACGCTTTGGGGGTAATGCTGAAGCATTTGAAATTTACATATAATTTTGTATTCCTTGTTTGTGGTAAAGGAAAGTTTTCATAGTATATCTCAATCTCTTAAGATAACATGCTGTTATTTGTCGAAGAGTTACGATTACTTTCAAAAAGTAAGTATTTATGTTTGAAGCTGGGCAAAACTGCTACAACTATTGATAGAGAAATGTTTCAACCAGATATGGTTTGGATATTTCCTTGTAATGAAGTCAGATACCCACTTTAGTCCTTTCAGGGCCAGTCTGTAATGACAGGTTTTTTCCAGGTGTTTGGGAATTAACAGGAAGTGTATGATGATAATATATCCCACGGCAGAAACTGTTTGAAAAACCTACTAAAACTAGGAAACAGTATGACTCTTCTATTAGTTTGATAAGACTTGAATTTTAGGTTTTATTAAAAGGTCCAGGTTTTAGTTTAGTATTAGACTGAAAATAGGAAGGAAAATAGGATTAAGGAGTTCCTCATTTCACTGGTGTGAAAAAATGGCAAATTATCTGAGATAAGGGCCTGGAAATGGATTGCAAGTGGGTGTGAACGGAAGACCCTAAACTAAATATTTTACAGCGTACCATGTCAGAAGATTTTTTTTTATTTATTATTGTCAGTATCATGTTTGATACTCTATGGAAAAGTCTTGTGTACACATTTTAGTGTCACATAAGGTATTCTGGACAAAAGGTAACATTGTATCAGTGTTCTCTGGAAGCGTAACTGTCAAACATTTTTCACTAGCTTCGGTCTCTTAAACAATAATAATTATATTTATAATAACAATAATGAATCTTTATTCATTCAATAAAAGTACATCTAAACTAACCAGATAAAATTAGCTAAAAAAATTGCAAAATAAGAACTTACAATATAAAGATGTACTTATTTATATCTAAAAGTCTATTCATTAAAAAAGTCTAATTTTGAAGCATTCGGTATTTATTTTTGGAGATCAACAGAAGCTTTGTTAATCAGACAAAGCTGCAAAATACTTGTCTTGATCAGAAAAAGTTTTAGCCTTTGACAGCTCGTGTTTTTTACGGGGGGCTCAAAAAAAAAACCTCAAGAGAATACTGATTTTTAAATTCTAAAGTAGGCAAAATACAGACAGACTGATCTGGTTGTGTAACTCAATTATGGAGTAAATTCTAAGGCTCTGAGGACAAGTAGAGGTTAAAAAAAGCTTGAGCCATACCTAAACTGGTTTCTTTTAACTCGATTTAATAGCATTTTCCTTAACATCTCAAATGTGTGTCATAAGAAGTCTTTTCGCGTGTTGTTATTTTTGTAAATTCATGCAAGTCAAAGTTAGATAGAACAACAATATAGCAGACTGTGTCTACATATGATATCATGCTCGTCAAGAATGCCCTTTTTTGGAATTTACCAGGCTTTTTAATCAGTGTTGACAGTGCTATTAAAAGTAAATAAGTCAATCAGTTATCAATGCTGTGTCATTATTGGGGTATGTGTGAAACCGCACACAATAAAAGTGCATGCTGCACATGCCTGTTGCTCACAGACGTCAATGACGTGCACAAAGGACATTTTACCAGCATGACCTGGGGACAACTGGGGATTATTTCATGTTCAACAAAAATAACCTGAAATAAAGAATGCATTCAGCAATAAGTGAATGGTGCCAGGACTTCGGATTCAGGTATCAGGGTTGCTGCCCCAAAATCATGGATTTTCTTGTCTCTCTTTTCCAAACTTTTTGAAAGGAAAGTCTAGTCAGGTTTGTAAGATAAAGGTAATAAACACTTGCTAACTAACAACTTCAGGATGTGAACAGTTCCTGTCATTGCTTATTAATCTGGTGTCAAACATCATGTAGGCGGCCATATTTCACAGCACATTACTTATTACATTATAACTTCATTCATGTGATGAACTAGATAGAACTAAATAAAACTTGATAGGTGAACAGATTAACTTGAAGAAACTCAAGAGCCATCATCTTTGATGGGCTCAAGTTAAATAGGTGGTCTCACTCACTCAGCACTGTCCCTAATGACAGATGCCTGCCTGAACCTCATTTGATCACAGTATAGTCAAGGTTAATAATAATGTCGTTGGTTTATAATTGTTTTATATTGTTTTATAAGGGAATAAATATATTACATTTGCATAACTTAACTAACTAAACTTAACTTAACTTAACTAACTTAACTAAACATAATCAACCACTACCCAGAAATAGCGTAGCTAGACTCGGTGGGCAGTGTGTGGATGCTAAAACATCTTACATAAATTTCGGTTCAACAAAAGATTCAATACATATACAAGAAACAGAAATTAAATATTAAATCATTCATTTAAAAGCAGAAATGACAGTATGAGATAAAAATACAGAAATAGAAACACATAACAATAAATAGAAGAATACATAAGTTATACACTACTATCAACTGGATTTAACTTTTGACACATTGATTATTCATTCTACGTCAACATAACTATCTTGAACTTGAAGATTTTGAAATAATGTTGTTAGCTTTTTCTTGAAAATATCTTTTGGAAGATTCCTTGAGTTTCCTGGGATGCTATTCCAAATTTTACAACCAATCCTTGAGAATGAGTTTTTATGTTGATTTAGTTTTAGTTTTACAATTCACTAAATTGACAGCTGTTTGGTGGGCTACCAATTGCCGTGTGTAGGTGCCGGAACAGCTGAAAGAACAGGCATTTGCAGCTTCCACATCTATTGAGTTAGCAGTAAAGAAGTTTTGGTTCATGTAAGGAAGAAGGAAAGTGGATTGCATGCAGTTTACATCCAAATTATACACATCTATCTTTTGAGTGGCAATTTCTAGCTTCCAAGTGTTTGTAATTATTTTTTGTGAGTTTTGCAAAAATGTTTCAAAACTTTTTATGTTTTTGGAAAAATGAAAAACAACTTTGTTTGGCTTTTTTGTCTTGCTCTCTGGAGATACATACTTTCTTAGGGTAACAGCCTAGAAAGCCATGTGTCAGTTGGAAAAGATGCCTCTGAGATTTGACATCTGGTAAGGATGCTTTGCATTCGGCATCCTTGGTAATTTTTTAAGGGGGGGGAAGTCAAGGGAATATTAATATGAAAATCAAAGTTGTTTGAGTGAGTATAATTTGTTAGGTATGTATAAGCCTGCAAGTAATTTTTGTCTTTAGCAAGGTCATTTTCAAAGCCACTGTGTTGAATTAGAACTGTAGCAGTAAAGCAGATTGAATGGTGAACTGTTCCCTAGGCCTGTTGGGGCTACATAATCTTAACAGTAGGGGAGAAAGGGGTTTTTGTGTGATGGGAGATTAACTGTTTTTCATTTTCATCACCTGTAAAAGTATGAAATTAAAGCCCCATGAACTGTGAATTTTTTGCTTTTCTTGATTTGTGAACTGTAAAGTTGTTCACCCAATTTTTTGTGATGCATTATTTCTATAATTTTTGATGTATGTGAGATGTGCACAGGACCTCCCTTTACCCCTTTCTTAAAGGAAATGTTTTGCATTGTGATCACCATGGTAAAAGTGCTTGATCTGGCCAAATGTCTGACCATCAAAACCAGAAATTTACAGGATATTTGTTTGCCAACTGGCTTTTATTTGTGGGCTTTATATGCAAAACTATGGAACTAACATGAACATGAACATTAATCCCGACTTTCAGGGGCCTCACAGAATGTAGATGAGGATATTGCCTCAGAAACCATGCCTGGTCTCAATGACAAAGAAGCTGGCGACTTTTTAAAGGGGCTTTTGCAGAAGCCAAGTTCCAAAGGAAGTCCTAAATATAACATGTCATCAGCTGATGAGTTGAATGGAGTGGTCAATGCAAGATTCAGGAAGGAAATGGTGGTTTTGTTCTCAAGGCTTTCTGAGACTTACCAATGTAAAATACTTTCAGCCATACAGAAAAAAACACACTGTAGTGTTCCATCTCTCATTAAACTTGTTTTCAGCCTAAAGGAGACGAAGCATCTTATAAATGTAAATGTAAGCTGTACAGTAAAAGGGAAAATGAAACTGAATGAATGCAGCTCTGCTCATAAAACTTATGTTGGTAATGTCTTCAGCCACGAGCTTTTGGAATTCTTTGCATCACTTCCAGGAGCTTTTAAATGCCATGTCATCAACACCATTGCTTTGGCATACAACAGGCAGCGTAGAAGACATCTTGCTCTTTCATTCTCTGTCAGTCAAGCTCAAAAAGCTTTGGAGGAAATCTTTCCATCTGTTATCCAGCAGAACACTTGTATGGATACAGAAATGGATCTCATAATACCTTCAATTCCTCCAATCAATGTTACAGTGAATATGGCTGGTGTTAGGAGGGAGTCCTGGCTGAAATATTTAATGCAGAAAGGTCCTGATATTTACAAGGCTTTCCTAGGATATGAGTGGGAGATGAGAGGAGGAAGAATGTTAGGTTCACCAAGCACTGCAAAGTATTTAGCAGACAAAAAAGAAGAGATAAACAGCGCTCAGCTTTCCATTGTTAGGAAAGGTGGTCATGATTTCGCCTTTTCAGTATTGTTTCTATTGAAAGTGAAGAGGAAGCAATCCCAGCGATTACGGGAGATAAGATCAACTTACAAGATTGTACAGGCTTTAGAAACAAAAACTGAGGATGAACTACGGGAAATTTTCAATCCCACCATCATTGGCATCAGTCTAAGTGGACAGAAGTCAAACATCACCAAAACACCATCAAAAACCAACACTTGGACATTGAATCAAGTTAGCAAAGCAAAGCATTTGTTTCCAGATCACTTGTCTGGATATTACAAAGAACTGAGTAAAGCAGCCAGGTGTTTTATTGTACTTTACATGTCACGTCAAATCAAGAAGAGTCCGCAAGAGGCTGAAATGTTTTATGTCTCATTAAGACTTATATCCAGGAAGCACACGTGTTATTATACTTGGAGGAAAGGTCCTACTGATGATCCTATTGGCATACGACCTGAGCGTTTTACAGCAAGGATGACACAAGCTCCAGTCTTGAACAGCACTGGAATACCAACAAATTCCAGTGTCAGTACTCTTAGTACAAATACTGTAAATGATGTTTCTGCTGCTAAGGTCCATACAGAAGATTTCTCTTCCTTGGAAATTGTGCTTTTTGCACTTTTAGGCTTATTTTGTTTTTCTGTTTTGGCATTTACTGTCAACTGTGTATTACTGGCTTTCAGAGCAAATGCAAAATTTCAAAAGAATCGCGCTACAAAAACTGTGCTTCCAACTGCAACGAGCCATAAAGATGGTCGTGGAAATGGTTCTTCCCAGATTTCTGAAAAGAAAGAGTGTTCTTGTCTTCCAGTTGCAATGGAAACTAAAACAGGCCATGCCAAGATTTGTAACTGTGTGCAGTGTGTTTCTTTTTCAGCTACACAGAAAGTTGATGAGAGGTGCAAAGTAACAACTTATCTCTTTCAAAGCTACCCTTTAGCTCAAAACACCTCAGAAAGTCAAACAAATCCAAGAACTCACTCAGAAAATGCATATTGTGTGGATTATTCACCAAAATCAAGAACATTCAATACATTATCAGCTGTAGAAGGAGACAGAATAAGGAAAGACTCTTCATCAGAATCAGAGAGAAACTCCTTGAAGACTGACTGTCTAAGCTCCAAAAGAGAGCTTGATCTTCTCAGTAAAAAAGACAATGACAGAATTTTAGAGTGGCAGGGTAAAGCCATAAGCTACTGTAGTATATCTGATGGAAGTTGCAGAGGACAGCTACCTTGTGTTTCACAGAGTGGCCGTCTACCATCAGAACAATCCCATGAAACAGTTGTTGTGTTGTTAGATTATGGAGGATTGAAGGAAGTTCAGGTTTGACCCTGGCTGAACTGTCACTACTGGAATCATTGCTATATTTAATGAGATTGTTAAAATATAAATTTAATTATTTAATTATAAAGTACTTGACTCGTTGATACAATTTAGGAAAGCTTCCTGATCTTTTTATCCAATAGACTGTACTCTTTTGAGGGTCAAATTGGTCCTAATTTTTTTTTTCACTTCAATGTGGCGATATTTTTCCTCAATACTTGCACCTTTTGTTTATTACTATAAAATGAATGGGGTGCATTTCATTTACACAAAAATTTCTCTGTGGTTCCAAAGATATAATTTTATTGACAAGAAAGAAAGGAAATATTTTTTAAAAACTTGTCACTACTTGACTGAATGGCCTGGCCAAATTCTTTGTTTGGAAATCTTTCTCCCAATCAGGGCCAAGAAATAGTTAAATTTAACTTCTATTACCTTCTTGTAAAGAAACTTCTCATTGGTCTTCAAATATATTCTTATGTCCAATATACTATATGTCCATATCTTGTTCGTCCATATTCGCTCCAACGAAGGGCTAACACTCGAAACGTCAGCTTTTGTAATCGTTACGGTGGCCAATTTACCACTTCAACTTTGTTGATATATCCAAATTATTTCGTTACTCCCACCGACGCAGCCCCAGTTTCTTTCGAAACTATCAGCCTTTATTCATTTGTCCATATCTTGTGTTGGCCTAAGAAAAGTAAACAGGGAGAAGGGGTGGGGCAGGGGGTTATGTGGCTTCACCTCTCCCCCCTCCCCACCTATTACTTCCTGTCTTGACCTCACCTGCAACCCTTAAAGTAATATTTAATTTTTTTGTTTGTAAACCAAAGGAATGTTGAAACTGTATTATCAGTAAAGTTCAAGTAATGGTTGTGAAAAATTTTATAATTACTAAATGTTTTATTCAAAACTCCAAGGCCATCTCTAGCAAGTTTCAACTACCCTATTCTGCTGTACCTGATGGCAGCAGTATCCCATTACAAGACAAGCTTTCATTTAACTCGTTTGTACTGGCAACATGTTGTAAACCATGGCAGTAACAAGCCATTTTGTTGTTCTGAATGAATCTTGAAAGATTTAGAGTTATTTGGAATAAGTCACTAAAACCCCTTCTCTTCATTTCTTTTTTGTTTTCTTTTTTCTTTTTTTTGGCTAATATTAGCTCCTCGTGGGTTCTAATTTCTATCAAATGTAGCCAGTATGGCCTCCTTGAACATGTGGCTGTGAGTCATGTTACCCCTATTATGTTGCCCCCAAACTGTGTGACCTTGTCGCCACTGTGGTTAATGTTGCCTCACATTAAATTATGGTCATTGGTTTTATACCCTGATGCTACCAACTTGTTGCCACTGGTATGATTACAGACTGGGTCAGACTCCAATCAGCCCTATTTCTATTCCAAATTAAGGGGAGGGGGACACAGGATTGGTGACTAAGACACAGATGAAAGATGGAGTAATTACCAACTCCAGTGCATAAGATTCCAATGGGTAACCTAATAATTCTAAAATTGTCTCAACATTCTTTAGACTTGACTCTGCATACCCTCACTTTGAAAGCATCTTGGCACCCCAGGTGCTCAAATACAGTTTCTATGCATAATTGTTTCAACATATCACTAAGAGATGGATAAAAGATAGCAGATTCTTTCTCATGTCACATGTTGGCCAGGTTCCTTGGGAAAATTCATGATGGTGGTCCCTGTAGACAAATTTTAAGCTCATTTTAACATAAAATTTGAGGGGTTAGATCACTCCTAAGAATCTCAAAACTGTTCATAACATAGTTAAGGGGGTCAAGGATTGTGCCGGGGTGAGAGCACTCCCCTCCCACAGCTGTGGTTCATATTTGAATCTCGGACATGGTGTCACATGTGGGCCGAGTTTGCTGTAGGCTCCCATCCTCACCTGAAGGGTTTTTCTCCAGCTCCTTGGGGTTTCCTCCGCAATTAAAAGCAATATTCCAAATCCCATTTCGAACTAGAGACAGTGGACAAGATGAGCCACCTTGTGGAATGTCCATTGCTAAATTCTATTACCATTATTATAAATATATTCTTTTAGCCCTCGGTGTAAAAACCTGACGAGGTTTTCTTTGTTTCACAAGGTATTGTTTTGCTGTACGCTATTGTTTATGTTTTGTTGTCTTTGTTTTACGTCACTCGCGAGCTTCACAGGTTTTTATACCAAGGATGAGCCCTTTAAATCCTGACCGGACATCTAATTTCTCCTTATGGTGATCCAGCCGTCTTTTGTTAAGATCATGTGAATATAGGAGTTATCATCAAGCCAGGAGGTTTTGTTCAGTAAACAAATTCTCCTTGTCAGTACCAAAGAAATGAAAGGAGAAGAGTGTAGAGAGTTTGGATACTGCTGCTAGGGCATAAGGGATTAAATGAAGGTGATAACAAAGATATGTTTTCCAGAGTATTTCTGTCCTCTCCCCACACCCTTAACAAATTAAAGTGCTAGCTGTCCTAAAAAAAGGAGTCTCAAATGATTATAACCACCATTTTGTCCAAATGAGAGCTTTATTGGCAACTAGGGATGGACTGACACCATTTTTCCAAGTTGATTTGATACCAAGTAAAATACTAACATTTTTCTTTCAATATCGATACCAATACTGTGAAGTTATTGAGTTAAAAGGTAAGTCCTGATTTGATTGACGAAACATAGGGTCACTTACTCTGTTTAAGTTATGCCGAGTTCAATACTCTATAGAAGAGTCAATAGGATAGTAAATTGAATTAAGGACATACTTAATTTAAAACTCATGGTTATCAAAGAGTTCACTCTTGTAGCACTCACAGGCCACAAGACTGGTACACTGCAGTGGTCATTGCCCAATCTTCAGCCCAGAGTCTTTGACTCCTGCTCTGCAGTTAGTCTGACATGAGACAAACTGTGGGCAGGTCATGTGCAGTACCGAAAGCACTCATACTTTTGGCTAGTATCAATATTTTCCAATCTGACCTTGGTATCACCAGTATTGAATATTTGGTATCGGTATCAGCCCATCTTTACTGGATGGAAAAATGAAACAATGTAAGTAAACCTATGAAATAAGGTGGAAACAGGCCTCTTTTTAAGCAAAATTTTACATGCTTCAAGATTTTTTTTTTAACTATGACAGGGGTGGTGGTGATGTCTTTTACCTAGAAACTGAGAACTGATACAGCTCAAATGTTTGCAGGTAAATAGATTTAGTATCATTACTCAACAAGTTGTACATCTTAGTGGAGCTGTGAAGTGTTCCCTTCCAAATTTGAGAGGATCCCTATTCATGAGTTTACCCCTCTTCCACTCCTCATGACAATGCAATGAGTTGGAGGATGAAGTTTAATTGCCACTGTGACTGAAACTACACGGTGTTAAATATCTTGAATGACTTGCAGTCTTTCCTCTATCCATTAAATGTTTCTTTTCTTCAGTGCAAATAATTGACAACATCTGTGTCATGTTCTTAGATGACTGTGTGGTTCAGCTTTGGAGGTTCGTATGACAGCTGGTATGCTCCTTTTCTGATTGAACTGAATGAGTCTATATTTAACTGTAACAGCAAGGAAGACAATCAAAGTGACCAATTGCAATCCAGCCAGAAGGAAGAAATAGTAATTAAAATGGCCCTTCAGGGCCATTTTTTTGGTTTCGGTCATACTTGGGGTCCACGAATTTTTTCCCAGAGAACAAAGTTCATATAAACCTCCTCCGAGTAAACTACCAAGGGACTGTGAAAAATAGAACAGTCCCATGACAAAACTTTGTGCAGACTTTGGAGCTTCTTTGTAAGCAAATTCCAGGGCTGAAATAGAAACATTGGTGATTGTTAACATGAATATTAAGCTTAATGAGCATGTACTTGCTGTTCTGACTAAGTGATAATAAATTACTACAGGACTTGTAAAACAGCGAAGATTCTGGGGATATTACAGAGACATAAAAATAACTATAAATGAATGATAAAAATGTTATGAGGGAAATTAACTTCAAGTTCCAAGTTTGCCAAAATTGATTTCAAGTTACTGGGTTGTGCAGTAGACGTACAGACAACATAGAAACCCTTCATCAGTATATTTATTCTCCATTCTCTTCTTCACCCAAATCCCAAGGTGTTGACAAGGAGAATTTGTTTGACAATCAAGAGCTTCTTTGGTTGGTGATAATTTCCTCTATTCTTGTGACTTCAATGCTTGATTCAGGGGTGATATTGTAAGGAGAAATTAGATACTAATCACTCTTAAGAGTCAAAGGGTTATGATTGCAAGGAGAGTTAATCTTATTTGTGCACAATCCTTGCAGAAAGAGCACTGTGTAAGCAATAGTGAAAATCAGACCTGAAAAAATTCAGGACTTGTATGGGATTCGAACCACTGACCCCTGCGATACTAACTGGTACAGCGCTCTACTAATTGAGCTAACAAGCAAACTGGGAGCAGGTCATCAAATTAGTCCTACATAAACCCGCAACATGATAATCAAACACGACGAATATATGAAATTCATACATCTGAACTGCCATTATAGAAACGTATTTGTGCACAATCCTCGCAGTAAAGAAATCTTCAACAATCTTCCCATAGGCAATTTTGAGAAATTTGAGTAAGGGTATCCAATTCGCTTCATGCCTGATCTCACAATTTGTATCATCTCTGACTTTGTTACTTACCTCCTACACTTGCAAACACTTCACTGATACCAATCAGGGCATACTGAGGTATTTGGTAGTAGATTTGCAAACAGGCAGTGTAGTTGACATTATCAATTGACTGATTCTTACAGTGAGATGTATCATTTAACCTGGCAGTCTCAACTCCACCAGCAACTATCATTGATGCAACGGCAAAGAACATCCCTTAAATGGTAAAATTACATGGTTTATCAGTGATTCCATAGAAAAAAAAACAACAACAAATGAAGGAGGCATGGAGTAAAGCTTTCACCCTATCACTCCCAGGATCTGCTTAGTCATTCGTCTTACTGTCTACCATACAATTCTTTTGACATTAGCAACCCCATTACATTATGTTTCTTTCTTCTCATCACTCGTCTGCTTGATATTGTATTGATACTGTATGGAGAAGTTCTGCCTTGGTCACTCGTGGGAGTGAAAGGGTCATGTGAATTTTGATGCAATATCTAATTTTTCTTTTGTTTCACAATAGCACAAAGGAAATTGGGAGGGAGAATGCAGAAGCAGTCGGTCAGAAGCCACTTAGGGCTTTTTTCATACACCAATTCAAATACGCTTTTAAATTACAAAATTAACTCTTGCAGAGGTAAGGTCCTTGAACCTTCTTTATTAAAAAAAGCTTCCCTCCAGTACTCTGTATACATAGTTCAGACATTTGCTGTAAAAATTAACCATGTGCATTGAAAAATTAAAAATGACTATGGTTGTGTATTTCTGCAGAAAAACATGACTTTTCGAGTTAAAAATTTTAACAGATTTAAAAAATATGTACATCTAGCGTGAATCATCATACTTACCAATTGAAATTCTGTTAAATACACTTAGCTTCCATCCCTTTCTATCCAGCCATGGATAGACAATTTTATCCATAAACGGAATTAAGATTAAAACAAAGAGGACATCTGCCAGTGAAAGTGAAGCTGGAGGGATCACTGCATGGTCATTAATAGCATCACTATCCTGGTAAAAACCAATTTCCATGTGTATTCCTTGGAGCAAGAAGGTTGAATTCATCTAAAAAGATTTAAAATGTTAATCATTCACTAACTTATGACAAGGGCCTAACACTCTGGCTAATGCTTTTAAACTATTTACAGTGGCCAATTGACATTATCAACTCAACTGATAAAACCAAAATTACTCTATGGAAACTTGGTCTGAATGCAGAGGCCAATACTATTAACCTTTTCACATCCTGATTTGATTGACTTCAATCACCTCCACACAGCTTTGATAAAATATCCAGCAAAAAGGCAAAGAGAAACGAGAAGCTTGTCAGGTAAATAGTGTTCCCTGGATGTAACACAAAATTCTTGTGACTTATTTGATATTGTGATGTGTAGCAACTGGAGAGGAAGATTACCAATCTGATCTTGGAATTTACGTTATGAGCTCAAGTTTATGTGAAGGGGTAAATGGAAAGAAGCCCTAACTGACTTCTAATCAACTGCAGGATTCTCTGAGCCAATTTTCTTGCATTGTCCTGTGAAACAGAGTGAGAAGATGATATTGCACCAAAAGAAAACATGGGACTTTCTTCTACTGACCCCTCAGTTGAATTTTGTATGTAGGTACATGTAAATTCAAATGGAAAAAAATCTCTTTTTTTCATGCAGACCATGGAAATGATCTGTGAGTGTTGTTCAGTTTGAGACAAAATACACACCACTGTAAATGAAGCCTATAATTTAAAAGATTCATGATAATTACCTGGAAATATATCACCCAATATGGAATGAGTATCGCAAAAATAACCATGATCTTCAGAATTGTTTTAACCTCCTCTACATCAGTGTCCAAAAAGCTTCCACCATATTTCATCATAGCACGATCTAGCCAACTTTTCCTTGGCATGTACTCCTCCAAATCAGGATAATAATGTATGCTTTCATTATTCCTTACCCTAAAATGGAATAAAATCAACTTATAGGAAGTGTTCCTTCCATTTTACTAATCAGAAACATTTTCAACCATTGAAAGTCACTATCCTTGGAGAAATTGCAAAGAATCCACTTTGAGGATATTCATTATAAACTTACCTGACAAGAGCTGTTCACTAAACTTTTGATGGGGGCATGTAGGGGGGGGGAGGCAAACTTTGATTCACAAAACATACATTTCTTCTTTTACACAAAAGGCCAAATAAGCAGAGAAATATTTCACAGTATCACAGATCCATGGTCATTTGAATGACTGCAAACCACATTGGACTGACAAGGGTCTCTCCTACCTTTGCATGCCTAAATATACCCGAGGGAAACCTTCCAGACAGGGGGTAACATACCTTGTAGATTCTTCTTTTCTACTGCGCTTTGCTTCCTTAATAATGTTATACATCTTCTTCAAAACGTGTCCAGTTGGTGGACAGGAAATATAACGTGTTTTACAGAGGAAAAAAACTACTGCAGCCAAAACAATGCAACAACACAAGCAGCCAAATCCCCATCTGAAGTTAAAAACCTGCTCGACGTATGCAATAAGAGAAAAGCCCAAGAAAGAACCAAGGTTTATACACCAGTAAAACCAATTGAAAAACTTCCGATATCTGTTGTCATCTTGGCCCCTTAGCTGATCGCCTCCAAACGCTGCTACATTCGCTTTGTAGGCACCCTCTCCGATGCTAACAACTATCAAAGCACACGCAACGAACAGCTTACAACCAAGATGGCAATTTTTATTCCCCTTACTTAAAAAAGTTGACCCAAAAATCGCACCGACGCCAACGATGTATATAAGAAGACTTCCCCATACGGCGTTATAACGACCGCTGTACGAATCTCCAACAATACCTCCCACAGTAGACATCATCCAAGCCATACTGGTGAAGACGAACACTAAGACAACAGACGCAGATGGGCTGAAGTCAGTATCGTTCATGAGGAAGATAAGAAGGTTCGCCAAGATTCCATAATACGCTACTCTTTCGAGAACAACAGTAGTTAGTACGCATGCCAAAGGAAAGAAGGAAGATTGTGTTTGAATCTGGGTTGGTTGCGGTCTCTGCAGCCCCTCCGTTGGATGTTGAAGATGACTAACCGTGCCTCCGTTTAGAACACCACTCGAAGTGGAAATCGACCGCATCAACGGAGTTTTTTCGTCTGTTCCTGGTGTAGAACTCATTTCTGGAGGAAACGTTCTCAAACTCATTGGTTTCAAAGGGAATATTGCACTGGTTCGCTCGAGAAGGACGAGATTTCGGCAGGAAATCACACTGATCCCGCGCTTATCAATTTCGTTTCAAAGTCACATGATTGTGACGCTACGGGATAAATTAAGACGGAAAAAGAGCGTAAACAATGATTACATCATCCTTAACTTAAGTAATGATCAATCCTTTCCATTTTTATAGGCACATTTGGGTTTGGTGTAAGCATACGACTTAATTATAACGTTGCATCATTTTCAAACGAGGAAAAGATTTCTTCGAATACATTTACCAGCCATACCCAATCGATATGTTTTCCTGATTAAAGATCTCAATCACATTCAACTGATGGTAGTTCGTCGTCGTTACATTTTACAAAAGCCTTGTTAAAAAGATGTTAGAGTAGACCTTGTGTTGCCAGGGATAGTTTTTTCGGCATCTCAAATTTCTACCCTTGAATTGTACTCAAGTAATTGTAACTTACATAGAAAGTGTAGTGTATAAGCTAATCAGTCCGCGACATAAATAATGTTTTTCCATTTCTATTCATAGGAGACTTGAGATTTACAAGGAAAAGATACAAAAGAACCAAATGGAGTCACTGAGACGGAATAATGGTTTGATTACTCTGGTGGTAACTTTTCAGTGGTACCGATTTCACAGATTTGCAGAAAGTTTAAGCCATCAGAGGTAGTGTAAAGTTCGTGTTCGAAATCAGAACCTTACCTTATGCTCTCCCATCCGAGATCTTACGATTACACTTACTATATATGGTAACCACATTACAGCCTGCTGTGTAGGCGTCTTACCATTTTAGGGCGAGTTAGCGTTAAGAAGCGCGCGATCGTTTATTTAACCGGCATTTTGGTGTCAGAGTCGACGTTAGGGTGCTGGACTTGAAATCCAGTGGCCCAGGTTCAAGTCCTCCACCCTGCAACTCACTCACTGTTCTCGGTTGCCCCTGGTTCAACTCCTTAGCTGCGCTCTGTAAATAGCCTGGTCGCCTCCTGCCAGTGGGGATTTTTATGCAATTAGTTAAAACTTCTTCTTAATACAGCCCACAATGTAAACTACTGGGTTACCAGTAATTGTGTTAGCTATTAAAGTTTTTTTTTTTTTT